GGAACCCAGAATCTTGGGTCACAATCTTTTCCATCTCCATTTTGGAATTTGGACTAGTTTGTAATGTGTACAACCTCACCCTTTTTCCCAAGATAAAAGCAAGACCTTAACCATTTTGTGTCAAGATTATGGGAGAATATATGTTTATGATGTGGAGGAAAACAAGGTAGAAGAGAGGTTCCCTATACCAGAAGATAAATACGATGAGGGCATGGTTGGAATGTGTTTCTGTGCTCAAAGTTTTGAATTGCCATATGGAGTAAGGTGGAGGAATGGCGATCGGCATAAATGCAGGTTTTAATCAACACGTTTTGGAATATTTGATTTGGATCTTGTATGATTAAAGGAATACGTACATTAATCGTTGCTTCAATTCTAGTGATAAGTATATTTGAGTATCACAACTCACAAGACTAACTGTTAGATTCATACCAGTTAATTTCAAGAACGTAGCATTATTTATGGCCTGGATCGGATGTCTGTGATGCATTTATATTCATGATCTCTTTTTTCATGGTTGCTTCATATTTCTTCCAAATGATGTTATTTTGAGTATGTTTAAATGAGGGCCGTCTTTTAGGATGTGCAATAGGTGCTTGGCATCGGACCTCCCTCATTTAAGGGTCTCCAAAAATTTAGAATGTAATACCCTCATTAGTTACTACCTCTGTCCCGTTGGAAGGTTCCCATAGCAAAACGGCACGGTTATTTAGCCAATAATTAAATAAAGTACTTCGAGTATATTTTGAGAAATAATTTTAATAGGTATATATTATAATGTAATTAATATTTATAACTGTGATGTTATAAATGTATTATTTTTAATATTTAATGATTAATTTGTCACTTAAGATTGTTAATTGTTTCCTAAAATGGAAATGGGAACCTTCTAACGGGACGTCCAAAAAAGGAAAGTGGGAACCTTCTAAGTTTATTTTTATAGATGTCATGTATTATTCAAGATTCCAAAAAGTATACGTAGTATAATTTTTAGATTCTCTAATTTGTGCACTTTAAACATCATAAAACTTATACTCCTTATTTCATTGAGATGTCTAATCTACATGTATTTCATTGTTCAAATTTGTAATAATTTTGTTGTTTTAGGGGGTCTCAACTTTCCATTTGAAACCGAGACCTCCAAATTCATTACACTGCCGTCAAACTTTAAATCCTACCTTATACATCGTATAGTAGTCTTTATGTCTGGCTGGGAATAACAGTTTTTATTTGACTATACACATTTCATTAATAAATATACAATCAGTGATACATATTTATTTCATTAATCCAATAGCCCTTAATGGCAATGGTTGGTATTGTTCATTTCCCAACTGCTCTGAGAATTGAGAGTGAATGTCAATCTAGCTTTTTTTGTTCTAGAGAAAGTTCAGCTAATGCTTTCCAATCACATTAGTAGAGGGACAATATTATAAGGAAATAAGTGTCCTCGAAAAAATATAATTCAACATGTAGTTATATCACGGAAGTAATTATCTTGCACATACAAACAAAAAAAGTGAATAAGTGTCCTGCGTAAGTAATTATCTTGCGCATACAAAAAGAGAGAAATAATTAAAATACCCCAAACTTTGAAGGAGTGTGAGATTAACCCTCTAAACTTGCATATATAATTTAAATAGCACAAACTTTCATATAAAAAATGTATTATAGCACCATATTCACTATTATTTCTTTTAAAAATGTAAATTTATAGTGTTAATTGCATAATTTAAAATATTTTAGAATTCATAATGACACAATTAACATTTTAAACTTCCAGTACGAAATAAATAATTTTACCCTCAAGTAACACTTTTAATTTGCTATTTTAAATTATGCAATTAAACCCATAAGTTTACATCTTTGAAAAATATAAGACATGACAATAGTGTGAAAATAACTTTTTATATATAGTTTGGGACATTTAAATTACATATGCAAGTTGGGGGTGTTTACCTCACTCCCTTTCAAAGTTTGAGGTATTTTTATTATTTTCTCCTACAAAAAAGTGATGTGTAACTCGGCATGTACTTTACATTTTTTATTTGACTATACACGTTTGATTAATAACAATAGGTAATTTTACATATATATTCCAAACTTTGCCAAATTTGACAGAAATAATCAATAATAAAGTAAAAGTTGTGTGATAAAGATTTGTACAGAAGAAAGAAAAATAATATGAATCACAAATTCATTGATTAAAAGTAAATATAAAAAAATTGGACAATGAAAAAAGGAAAGATGTCAAAATTATATGGGACGCACGGAGTATTATTAAACTCATGTCAATTTTCAAAAAAAAAATGACTAGGCATTTTTGCATGATTTTTATAAGGAAAATTTGCAATATTCATCCCGTAACTTTCGACCGTTATCATTATTAGTCCCGTAACTTTAGTCATTTGTAAATTCGATCCTCTAACTAATTAATATTTGCGATTTAAGGACTTTTCCCCTGAAAAGTACACTTTACGGCGATAACATACCAGAAAAGATGTCGCCAGCGTTGGACTTTTCTGCCGGAAAGTGTACTTTCCGGTGGGGAAGTTCTTAAATTACAAAGATTTATTAGTCATAGAACCAAATTTACAAGTTCTTAAAGTTACAGGACAAAAAACAATAACAGCCAAAAGTTACATGACTAAAATTGCAAATCCCTTTTGATAATGTTATACGTAGTAGGTTTTATTTTTAGTGTAGTTCAAGATAAGGGTGGTCGAGTTGTCATATTGGTTTGGTATGACCGAACTAACTTGAACCAAATTCGAACCATATACAATTTGATTTGAGTGTGGTAGCATTTTTTTAGGCGTATTAAACCGAACCTAATCCAAACCGAGAAAAATTCAATAAAACTGAACCGAACTAAAGAAATTCAACCAAATTTTCATATATTATTAAAAAATAACAAATTCACACTGAACCAATCGAACTAAACCGAATTAGAACGAAAGATAATATGATTTTTGTTTGATAATTACGGAGTATTCTTTCAATCCATTTCAGATCAGACCGAATAGAAAACCAATAAAACCAAACTGAAAACCAATGTGTCCATTCCGGTTCAAGATATATTTATTTATTTATTCTCTCTTTTAATTTTTCTTAATACGTTTGCATTATTTTGTTAATGATATACGTTTATTCAAAATAACTACTACCTTAGTGTAGTTATCATTTTGACATGTTGTTTAGAAAAAATGTGAGGTGTGATGCTTATTAAACAACACTTTAAGATATATACTCCCTCCGTTCCGTTGGAATGTTCCCGGTTTGACCTACACACATATTAAGGAAATAAACTTACCAGGGGGTAAATTTTACTATTTTGACACTGTTTCGACACTGTTTTGACATTGTTTGACACTGTTTGAACCTGTTTTGATGTAGGATAACTTTCCATTTAGGGAAATGAGAATTTTCCAACGGGAAATCCAAAAAATGAAAGCGGGAACATTCCAACAGGACGGAGGGAGTATTTGCTTAAAACATTGTATTCCTCACATGTGTTATGAGTAAGATAAGTTTGAAATTAATTATGACTTTTACGATTTAACTTTTAAAATCTTCTAGGTGAACGTTAGACATTAAATATCTAAGGATCTATATTTATACTTATAATAAATTTTATACTTCCTCCGTCCCAAAATGATGATCTTATATTTCCTATTTGGGTTATCCCAAAATGATGGTTCTATTTCTCTTTTTGGTAAAGAAATTAAAGTAGATTACCATTTATACCCCTACTTTTTATGAACAATAGAAATAAAAGAATGAACAGTGCAATAAAGTAAAGTTATATGAGTCATTCTAGCTCACTTTCTTAATATTTGAATCCAAAAAGTATAAGACATCAATTTGAGACGAAGGGAGTAATTTAATAAATTACTCCCTCCGTTTCACAATCTTTGACACACTTTCTCTTTTTGCTGTTTCACAATCAATGACACACTTCCTTATTTCCTTATTTGGTAAACAAATCTTTACCAAAACAGTGCCCAACAGTGCCAAACAATGTTCAAACAGTGCCAAACAGTGTTCAAACAGTGCCAAACAGTGTACTCTACAGTAAAATTTACCCCCAGTAACATTTTTTCCTTAATTCTTGACAAGTCAAACTGTGTCAAATAATCCGAAATATTGCAATGAACTAATATAGGAGTATCATTTAAATAAGAGACAATTCCCCAAATAGGAGCAAAACATAGACAAAATGCAAAAATAGGAGTACCATGTTTTGAATAGGAGTAACTTTAGTGTTTGGACAAGTATACCCCTACCCAAGCCCCAACAACTTTTAATTAAATGTTTAATTCTTAATAAATTCGAAAAAAATTCAAAAAATCGTAGAAAAATAATTAAAAATTTATAAAATATTAATCAAATAAAAAATTAAAAAATTAATATTTTTTTAAATTTTTTATTTTTTTAAAAAAATTAATAAAAAATAGTAAAACTCCATAAAAAAAATTAAAAAAATATGGATGCCTTTCCCACCGCTTGTACTGCCTCCTTGCACCACCACCTCCGGGCGGTGAAAAAAAATTCATTTTTCCTAAAAACTGTCTTATTTTCTGAAAATGCAAAAAACATGACATATTTCTCTTTGCGAATGCCAACATTTTCATTGTTTTCTACCATAAATATGACATAAGTAATGAACTTGGCATTTTTCCCTGGTGACTGGAGGTGGTGGTGCTGAGGCGGCAGATGTGGCGGTGAATTTTATTTTATTTTTTTGAGTTTTTTATTGGGCAATTTCTATTTAAATAATAAACTAAGTACTAGTATATTGCAATGAAATATACTCCGTAGAAAATTAATTTTGCGCAATAAAGTAATATAAATATAGGGGTCAAATTTATAAAATTTAACAAGACATACTCGTAATTAATTGTAGGATTTGATTTCAGAGGAACAAAATTTGAATCAAGAACTAGTCGTATACGCAACAAAATGTGTCCATACCTGTAATAATGTTATACTGGTAATGATTTGGATCCACGAATACAATACTGCATTATGCAACTTCTCTCAAACATCTTTGGAATAAAAGTGAGGGAGAATTGATCCGACGACAGTGATTAGAATCGTCAGTACTATCAAACCTCAAGAACCACAAAGCCGGTGAAGCGCAAATCAAGCGACGATGGTGGCTCTGAAAGAAGGGAGCAGGCCACCATGGGTTGGTCTTGGAGCGGCGGTTTGGGTTCAAATAGCTGCAGGGAATGCCTACACTTTCCCTCTCTACTCGCCTTCTTTGAAATCAGTCCTTGGTTTCAGCCAGCAGCAGCTTACCATTCTCGGAGTGGCCAATGATATCGGGGAAAATGTGGGGATTCTTCCAGGGATAGCCTCCAATAAGTTCCCACCCTGGTCTATCCTACTTGTTGGTGTTGCTTGCTCTTTCTTTGGCTATGGCGTTCTTTGGCTTGCTATCAGTCAGACTGTTCAATCTTTGCCTTACTGGCTTGTAAGCCCTTTCTATTCTTCCTTTCATCTCAAAGATTGAATCTTTTAATTTTTTTTTTTTTCATTTCTGTTCCAGGGTGGTTTGGATCTAGCTCGAATATAGGAAATAGTGAATTGAGAGAGCAATAATATAATAAGTCTCTCTTCTCTGGTGTAAAAAGTATATGAACTTTCATTGGAGCTCATAAAATACTCCAGTTTGTCTCCCAGAGGGCTAACGAGTACACTAACTTATATTAGAGCTATAGTAATTCTTCTACATGTTTTAGCCGTTGAGTTATGGTACATCCCACAAATTGAAATATTTGTAATATTTTAGTTGATCATATGTATCTTGAGATATTGTAAAATAAGAATTGCAAAACACTGGATAAAACTAGTAGTTGAATAAGTTATTGCATTTCAATTGTGAATGTTAGGTGTTCAATTTATGCGGACTTTGACAACATAATTTTAGTACATTAACTTCGTTTCGCTTGTAGAATTCACAAGATCTCTGTGTAGTATTATATCGTTGTTTCTATTAGTTTAAGCTCAACGTGTATAATGTAAATTGATATACTTGTTATATCCTCAGATCGACAGATCCGATTTGAATTGATGTAATTTCTACTCCAATCAGATCCGGTGTAAACTGATGTACTTTTTGCTCCTTCAGAGGCAACTTGGAGTATAACTATTATATTAGTTCTAAAGTAAATTGTTGTACTATTTATTAAAGTATTTCCTACGCCGGTAAAATATAGAGTAATAAAGTGATATATTAAACTTTTAAGGTTACTCCTATCAAACTGATCCATAATCATGTTGTCGACCCTCTATTAAAAATGACAACGCAATTAAAAAAAATGACAAACAAAGGGATATTGCCTGAGACTACCGTCTACCCTGTAGATAGAGAAAAAGTGACTCCTCTATTAATTAATTGGGGTTTCAGCTTCAAGGTCGACATTTGGTGTCTGTTTTTCAGAATATGCAAATCCTGCAAAGAAAAGTAAATTTGATAATATATATTTATGTTTTCGTGCTGTGATAGGCTTGCTGTCGATTATTCAATTTATGTTTTGTAAATCGATGTGAAACTTTTGCAATGCAAGTGCATTTGAAAATGAAAAAACAAGAGCTAACAAAACAAAGAAAGTAATTATTGTATGACTTCATTGTTCTCATTGAGCTTCTCGTGTACTTTGACAGTTATGGATTGCACTGTGTATAGCCACAAACAGTAGTGCATGGCTTGGGACAGCTGTGCTTGTTACCAACATGAGGAACTTTCCTCTCAGCAGGGGAACCGTTGCTGGTATACTCAAAGGGTATATTGGTATAAGTGCCCAAGTCCACACTGAGGTATTCACTATGGTTCTTGATCAGTCAGCATCCAAGTTAATTCTTTTCCTCACATTGGGAATTCCTATTATATGTTTGTTGATGATGTATTTCATCCGTCGATGCACACCGCGTTCCGGCGAGGACTCATCAGAACATTTTCACTTTCTGTTCACCCAAGCCTCAAGCGTCTTTCTTTCCATATATCTTCTCGCCACTACCTTTTTGAAGGACACAATCTCCATTAGTAAAAATATCAGCTATGTATTAGTTGTCATTATGGTTATTCTCTTGTTATCTCCTCTTGCAATCCCTTTGAAAATGACATTATTCCCCGCAAGGCCTAAAGAAGGTGATTCTAGCCAAACGACCCCTTTGTTAACACCGTCTTCTTCATCGGCACAACTTGGTAGCTTTCGCGAGGGTGAAGAAATGTCAGACACAGAATTCTTGCTGGCTGTGGGTGAGGGTGCAGTAAAACCTAAAAGAAGACCGAGGAGGGGAGATGATTTCAGATTCCGCGAAGCTGTTGTAAAGGCCGATTTCTGGCTCCTTTGGTTTGCATACTTTCTCGGGGTTGGTTCTGGAGTTACTGTCCTTAACAACTTAGCACAGATTGGAGTTTCACTCGGCGTGGATGATACGACAATATTGCTGAGCTTGTTTAGCTTTTTTAACTTCTTGGGCCGTCTCGGATCTGGTGCAGTTTCTGAGCATTTTGTGAGGTAATCCTAATTTTCCCTACTTTCCTCTATTTTTTTTTGTTTATATGTTCTTAATGATAGTGAAGAAAGCTGCCTGGTGGGGAACAAGTAGCTTAGCTCTTATTTTATACATTAATAAGCTGTTCCTCACTGGCTATTCCGCCTATTCGGCTGCTTCCATTCGGTTCTCATTAATCTTGATTGACAATTCATCATTTTGCATTCTACATCAAAGTTGTTAGGACCAATAGTTGCATAGAACTCTTATTCCATTTCCGTCCCAGACTGAATATGTTGCAATGTTCAGTCTTGCATAATCTGTTGTAAGTTGTAACATGAGCTTGTGTTGCACATCCTGCTGCAACTGATGCTGAATTATATAAAATGTTGAAGTCATCCTATGTCTGTTAAATACATAAGTACTGTAAAACGTCATATTCCAGAGAAGAGTCATAAGAACGACGCATGAGGTATCATAATAAAAATGCTGAATTATATACATTCTATCATAATAAACTTCTAGGATGAAACAACAATATGGTATCAAAGCTTGTTGAACTACAATGAACAATTAAATTTCAGTAAGTCTTCAACATCTGGATCTCAATTCTCAATATTCCAGAGAAGAGTCATAAGAATGACGCATGAGGCTTTAAGTATTACTCCCTCCGTCCCCCAAAATTCTTTTCAGTTTGATTTCGATCGGAGTTTAAGAAAGTGAGAATAAATTCTTTGTGGTTGAGTAAGAAAAAGGTAAATGAATGGTAGCCACACAAAACTTTCCAAAAAGGGAAATTTGAAGAATTATTGAGACGTCCCAAAAATGTTAGTGAGAAGAATTTTAAGGGACACAGGGAATTTATATTATAAGGTGTAGCACCTAAAGGAGCTTAGACTGGGCCAAAATCATAGTGTTTATAGGTGTGACATTGTTTGCTCTGCTTTAATCTTGAACTATCATGGAAAATTGTAGGAAAGCGTAAAAGATTTTAAAGGGTCTTTGCAGGTCAAGAACAATTCCCAGGACATTCTGGATGATAGTAACCCAAAGTATCATGACCATAGCATTTCTCCTGTGCGCATCAGCTCTTCCGGGGACTCTATACCCTGCAACAGCATTGCTTGGGGTTTGCTTCGGGGTTCAGTTCGGCATTATGATCCCAACTGCATCTGAGCTCTTCGGGTTGAGGCATTTCGGTGTCATATTCAACTTCATGCAGCTGGGCAACCCCATTGGTGCACTTCTCTTCTCTGGTTCACTTGCTGGTTATGTATATGACACAGAGGCTGCCCATCAAGGTGCTGATCATTGTTTAGGCCCGAATTGCTTTAGGCTCACGTTCCTGGTTTTGGCAGGAGTTTGTGCTCTGGGATCTTTCTTGAGTATAATTCTGACGGTTAGAATCAGACCGGTGTATCAGATGCTATATGCTGGTGGATCATTCCGTGTGCAGCAGAGTGCAGTCCATTGATAAGCCGGGTTTATCGGGATATAATCGATTCACACGTATTTATTTCTGTCCCTTGAAACCAGACTGCTCTGGGTTTTTATTGATTCTATATTTCTATATCTGATGTAAACCACTTTAATAGAAATGTAGAATCATATCTTTGTCCGAATGTGATGGAAGTCAAATGCAAAAAAGGATTAGAGAAGGGCCATCATATTTGCAATGTGAAATTTTACAATTCCAAAGTACATCACTTGTTTTGTAAAGGTATGTGATAAAAAAATAACTTCAACGTGTATGGAGCGGACTATGTAAGCCATATTGTAGGAGAAGTTTATTAATATAAACTTTTGTCTCACGTATATTTTGTCATATAGTTTGTTGATGAAATATTCTAATTTACAAAAAATATGCACCTGATAGAACTTTGGAATTCTCTAACTCAGAACAGTATACAAATGAAACTGCTTAGTTAGCGACAATTTGGAAGAATTAGTTCGCATCTGCGAAGTGATGGACGTTCTTGGCAACCGCGATCGTCGTCTAGTTTGGAATTGTTCTTCCATCGCAGGATTCGCAACTAGCTTTCTGTCGAGGTTTTCCATCATTGTTTTCATCTGTAGCAACATTTCCTCATTTGCGATCCTGCTACGCTCCATTTCTTCCCTTAGATTCTCCATTTTTGCTCTCGTTCGAACCATTCACAATTCAAAACGAGAAAAAAAAATTCTGGTGACACTACAACAATTCCGATCACCAGAACAGTTGTTCTGATACCAATGATAGAACTTTGGAATTCTCTAACTCAGAATAGTATACAAATGAACATGAACAGATCGAAACACTTTATTCACAAAGATGAACAGATCACAAAAGGGATACAAACCTTATGGACCATTCGAGATGCCCAATCTCCTAACCAAAACTCAACTGAATACATGTCTATCCATTTTCCTCCCCTTCTCTTCTATTTATACTACTACATAAACACTTACTATTATTATTATTTCTTATTATTAGCCTACTAAGCCAGATTCCTATCAGCACTCTATGTGTGATTGACTCTAAGGTGAACCACGTCGTGCTCTGCACACGAACCAGACACATCTTGATGCTTGGCCACTTGGGTGAAGGTGCTTCAAGAAATCACTTGGTTTTAGCAGGCTTTGGCTCAAGGGTAACAAAAGTTGATGTCGCGAGATAAGGTGCACACACATTCCAGCCACACCACTCATGTGAAGATGGAGACATTCTCCGGGTGATATGAAGGATGGCGTACTAGCACTGCCGGATGGCATAGGGAGCATGTGTCTAGGCGGGTTAAGCAACCACGACAACCATGAAGGAAGGCCAACACGACAACACTCACCACAAAAAGGAGAGAAAGTTTTGTATAGTCACTCCCGTCGACGGAGTGGACGAGTAGGCTCCCTCGATGTGAGCCTAGAACCGGTACTATAAGGTTCCAATTTCATAGTCTTTGGAATAGGGAACATTTGGTTTAGTTCTTGTTCTGATTTCGATTCGGGGGACAAGTTTAGTCTGACTAGATTTGTTTAAATCTGATCTGATCTGTTTGATTTGAATTGATCTAGTCTCACGAGTACATATTTTATAACTATCAAAATTTGATCTAATTTGATCATTTGATGTGATTTGGTGTGATATGATTTGATGTGGTTTAGGAGTGAACCATTCTAATTAAAAATATTGTTCAATTACCAATCCAAACAAGCCGCAATTACAGGCAGTCAACAAGTCATCTACTCCTCTTCGGCCTACTTCAAGAAGTTGACCCCACCGTTCGTGTTCCTATAATCCTATTACCCTCCGCGCTCTTGTTCCCATCGCCTACGGAAGATTTCTCTTCATCCTCTTCGGCTCATTCACCAACCATGGATCTGCAACTATGGGAGACCTTGAAAGAGGCGATCAAATCATTCACATCTCTATCTCCAGCAGCTTTATTCACTATTGCTGCTCTATTCATTGCCATCTATTATGTAGCTTCTGCACTTTTTGGGTCCTCCGATCATAGCAACTACCAGAGGGCCAGGGAGTTGGAGGAGGAGAGTAAGCCTCTTCCGCCGCCGGTTCAGGTCGGGGAAATCAGTGAGGAAGAGTTGAAGCAGTATGATGGGTCTGATCCTAACAAGCCTTTGCTTATGGCCATCAAGGCTCAGATCTATGATGTAACTCAAAGCAGGTATATTCATAATCTCAAAGTGGGTATGAATTAGATGTCTGATTTCTTTTTTAGTAAAAGTTTTCCTTTTTCCTTTACTTCTTTTTGCGTTGACAAAACTTTTGGCCCTTTTCTCATCTAGGCATCTGTATTTACTGTGGTAATATTATGAGTCTTTTGGAGCCCGTTCGGTCATGGTTATTTGGGTGAAATAGTTTAGTCTCTTGTATTTTCTCAAATAAAGGCAAAAGATGCTTATTTTGATTATTTTGTTTATTCGGGTTATTCAGCTGACAAGTTTATTTTTTGTTTCGTGATTTAGTATCATGGGAATATAAACATCTTGCAATTATCAAATTTTATTGAAAATGTTCTGTCTTAGAAATTTCAACATTACAATTTAAAGTACTAGGTGTAATTAAAATTCTGGAAAATCTTTATGTTGCTGAAAATATTGCTGTTCGGATTCTGCAATAGTGAAAATCTAATATGGGTGTTATTAGTTCTGTTACATTTCAATGTTGGGATATTAAAGATTGAATGATTACTTAATAAAACCTGCAGTTGGACTAGCTTGTAAATTAAAATTAACTTTTTTGTGTGATATAGCTCAAGTGCATAGTATCTAGCTGAATGACCCCAACCCAATCCTGAATTCTATTGCATCAGGTATTTTTGTGACTTTTCTTCTTGACCCTTTTTGGTAAATTGTCTTTGATTGATCAAACTGTGTTTATTTGGAACACTTTTTATACGTAAAAGTCTTTGATTGATCAAAGTGGTTTTTTGGGACACTATGTATAGGTAAAAGGGGTTGAATTGTCGCTACTGAGGGATTCACACTTTCCCTTCACACTTTCCAGCAAAGCAGATTCACCACTGATGCATGTTTTTTTCTGATTTCTGGGTCTTATTGCAGAATGTTTTATGGACCAGGAGGACCATATGCTTTGTTTGCTGGGAAGGATGCGAGTAGAGCACTTGCTAAGATGTCGTTTGAGGAGAAAGATCTTACGGGCGACATCTCTGGGCTTGGCCCATTTGAGCTCGAGGCTCTACAAGATTGGGAGTACAAGTTTATGAGCAAATATGTCAAGGTTGGAACTGTGAAGCATCAAGTGGCTGGAAGTGAAGAAGCAGCAGGTGCTACTGCTGATGGTGAAGCTTCTTCAGAAGTAACTACTGAACATGATGAGGCCGTTAAGCCCGGAGCAGATGTCTCATCAGAGATTGCTAGTAAGGACGGGCCGCCCGAAACCGTTAGCCAGGTGAAGAGTACTCCACCAGAAAGCATTATTGCAACGGATGGAAATGCTGACGAAAAGGAGTAGAAGGCTGTCTTATTGTCAGCAAGGAAAACTGTCAAGGGGGAGAGCTAATAGCATTAGTTCAATGTTTGTTTTGCATGTCTTCTTTTTTCTGATACAAAACTATAGTGTAGAAGGCATCTACTATAGGTAGGTACAATCTCTCCTCATATCTCAATGCCGTTTTGGCCAGTTTGTGGCAATAAAATAATGAATCAACCATTTTCACCACAACTGGAACTTTCCAGGAATGTCGGATACCTTTCGGACACGACCCTTTTTCCTTTGAAAAGATGTGTGCTTTCCCAGGTTCCATACTTCCGTTTTCTATTGCTCGTGTTTCTACGCCCGTGCAACATAGTCACGTGTAATGTATGGACTATGGTTGTATCAATTACAGACCAGAACTTAACAGCGACCAACTGGTTTTCTTAATAAATAATGTAATTGCTTTTGTGCACGCCGTTTACACAGCTGAATTTTGCCATACATTTTTTTTTTGTATGTGACCTTATTAAACTGAAAAACTTTGTTTGTGCACAGGCAAAATCCTGCGTGTAAACAGCGTTTAAGGCTGTGGCGTTTGCAAGAGGCGTTTACGTTTTCAATCTGAGACGCAATCGGCTTAGCTCTTAGCAGGCTGCTTTGGTTCGAAAATATACAAACAGGCACTGACTCGGTTCTCCACGACTCTGCCCAACTGTTCCTATTAGGTTCAGTTCTTTAATACTCTCTCCGGTTCTTATTAAAGTTCCCACTTTCCTTTTTGGGATGTCCCTTATTCAAGTTCACACTTCCATTTTAGGAAACAAAACAGTGCAAAACAGTGCAAAACAATGCCAAACAGTGTCCAAACAGTGTCAAACAGTGCCAAACAGTGCACTCCACAGTAAAGTCAAATTCATTTTCTTAATATGTGTGAAGTCAAACTGGGAACTTAAATAAGAACCGGAGGGAGTATGAACGATTTCACCCTCAATATGAGTGGTTGCTGGCTTGCAGTTGTTCCTACCTCAAGACATAAATTGGTTAATCCAGAACTTATGAGGCAAAATTCGTTTATGATATCCCTTTTTCAAGGATTGTTTGCATAATCCACCCTTGAAGATAAGTACGCCAATATGTATAGAGGTATTTTCTTAAATATTACTACGTATTGAAATATAACTTGACAATCCCCAAAAATATTACGCAGTATTATAATTACTATGTATAGTCATTATGGTATAGATTAAACACATTCATAGTCATTAAAGCAGTGACGGAGGAAGACCAATATATTGGGTTGAGCCAGTGGTTTGGTACAAAGAATATTTTTGATTTTTTTTACATGATTTAATTGAAATTTGAGGTGGGTCGGAGTCTAGGTTGAACCCTTAGCTAGGTCCTTGCATTAAAGTTAACATGATAGTCAGTAAAATAAAAAAAAACTTATACGAGTATGTATCCACTACTTTTATTTTAGTCTCTGATTTGTCATTAGGAGATGTGACAAATATATGACTGAAAGTGGGGATTGAAGAAAAAGAGATCGATCACTTTGGATCTCTAGGATGTGGCTTAATAAGAAATAGAGTTTTTGTCACTTTTGGTCCCCTGAGTATTGTGTCAGTAACACTTTTGGTACATGACTTTTAATTTTTCTATTTTTAGTCCTCGACTATTGTTCGTGAGACACTTTTAGTCATCTCTTTTCAAGTTTCCCACATTTAGTCCTTTGAGTATTATCAAATTGACACTTTTAGTCCTTCTACTATGATTTTGACACAATAAGTGGAGGACTAAAAATGTCTCTATAACAATAGTTGAAGGACCAAAAGTGTCACTTCTACAAAAGTCGAAGGACTAAATACGAAATTTTCAAAGACGGATACCAAAAGTGTCTCTCGCGTAATAGTCGAGGACTAAAAGTGAAAAAATTAAAAGTCGAGTACCAAAAGTGTCACTGACATAATAGTCGAGGGACTAAAAGTGGCAAAAACTCATAAGAAATAAGAATAATAAAAATTGTGTGGTGAAATTTGTGCATACCAGAGAGAAATAAGAACTACAAATTCCTTTCCTTAAGGAGAAAGTGAGAAAGTCTTTTGGGACAACAAAAAAGGAAAAATTGGCAAAGTCCAATAGGACGGAGGGAATACTTACTAGTAACTCAAGATCACCCAACATTTTATGTGCTCCTACGGCTTAAGTTTGACACAATGATGAAAATCCCTCCTCTCTTATCGCACAACAGATCTTAAGTTTGGTGTACCTTACTCGGCTGGGTACTACCTAATTGCTGCCCGACTGTATTAGATTGAGTTGTCCTAGTCCAAATGTAAAATGACATTGAAATAAATGAGTTTTTTTCGAATTAATGTTAATTAATTAATTACGACAATAAGGTTGGGTTAAAAGTATTTACCAATATACTGCTGGGTTAATCATGGTCGGGGTAAGTCACCCAACGGTTGGACGACTTACCCTTAAGTTAAAACATCGGCTAGCCACAACAGAATACTGCGTAAATTAAACCCAATCCCCAAAATCCCCCAAGCCGCAGCGACGAAGGACAAACGACGAACGACGACCGAGCGATTTGGAACTTCGGCGAACCTCCATCTCCAGCTACCCCACTCCAGCAAACCTCCATCTCATCTTCAACACTCTTTCTTCTTTCTTGTAGGTAAATCAAAATCCATTTCATCTCATTTTGAACTTAGGATTTTGAATGTTAAAATTTTTGAATTTTTAGATTATGAATTGATTGTGAATTGAGTTGTTGTGAAATGTGGATATGTATGAAATGTTGAAATTTGATTTTAAATTGATTGTAAATTTTAAAGTGTATTTTGACATTTGGGCATTTGGGTAGATTTGAATGTAGCTAAATTTGGGTATTGAAATGTAGACTTGAATGTAGATAGCAAAATTTGGGTATTTTCATATTGAAATGTGAGTTGTTTGTGAATTTTGACTTTTGGATATATTTGAATTGTTATTAGAATATGAATTTCTCAAGTTTCTCAATCGTGTGTCATTGAGGAGGGAACTATTATGAGGATGCTGGGCAAATATGCCATGAAGGTGGTACAACCACATTTATCATGGTTTCTAGTGGTGCTTGCATGCTCGAGATCATTCAAAAAATACATGCAGCCACAATGATTCATCCTAGCCGTTCTTTGCGTTTGAAAAAGAAATTTCCCATGAACGGGGGAAAGTACATGCTTATGCCCCTCATTGATGAGCTAGCTATAACAAATATGTGGGGCATAGTTCAGATGGAGGACATGTCGATGCTGGAGATATACATTGAGGAATCCATATGTGACGCTTATGGTACTCCATCAACATCAAATGCTGTTGTATCTAGGCATTATGTCAATGCAGGTGTGAATGCAGGGAAATCCTCATATGCTCCTGTACTGGACATGGTTATACAGGAAGATGGTAGGTATTTGCACAATGGTACATCATTTGTGGATGGGTAGGGAAGTGATGATGATGCTGACGACAACATCAATGGTGAAGACATGACAGAATCTGATGAAGAGGATGGTGATACGGTCACGGCAACTGCCACGTCTACACACTTTACTAGAATGTATGATCTCCCTGAAGGTTTTACTGATGCGTGGCTGAGTGGATCAGGTGAGAAAAGGTTTACTCCCGAAGGTGAGTTTGAGGTGGGTCAACAGTTTGACAACAAAGAACAAGTCATCAATATGGTGAGCTTGTATTCTATCAAACAGAACCAATTTTTTCGGGTGATAGAGTCCGATAAACACAAATGGGTGGCACAATGCAAAAGGAAGAAAGAATGTAATTGCCCTTGGAGAATACGCGCCACAAAGAACAAAGGCAACCTTGACACCTTCACAATTGTGCGTTATCCTGGAACTCATTCTGTTATGTGTGTTGGGAACACCGACACTACCGATCACGTGGCTTTGACTTCAGATTTCATCTCTAAAGATGTGATTGACATTGTTCGCACTGATCCTTCTCTTAAAGTGCATACTATCATTGAGATGCTGAAGGAAAAGTATGGGTATATGGTATCATACCGGAGAACATGGACGGGGAAGCAAAAGGCCATAGCAGAAATATTTGGAGGTTGGGAGAAGTCATATTCTGAATTGCCCCGTTTCATGATAGCGCTCCAACATTCAAATCCTGGAACTATTGTGCAGTGCTACCCACCCCCTAATACTCCCACATGTTATATGCAGTTTCAAAGTGTTTTTTGGGCATTCAAGGCATCAATACATGGTTTTAAGCATTGTCGACCCGTACTTACTATTGATGGCACGCACTTGTATGGAAAGTACAAGGGTACATTGCTCGTGGTCATGGGTTGTGATGCGAACAACCAAATATTTCCAGTGACCTTTGCAGTTGTTGAATCTGAAAATGGGGATAGTTGGCCATGGTTTATGGCATGTATTAGGCAGTTTGTCACTAATAGAGAGTTGTGTGTCATTTCTGATCGGCATGGAGGTATTGTCAGGGCAATGAATGAGGTGGGCAGTACTTGGGAGGAGCCTTATGCACATCATAGGCTATGTATCCGCCATCTTGCATTGAATGTGCATAGTCATTTCAAAGACATTCATCTATATTTTTTTTGTCTGGACCGCACGATAACATCAGAAAAAGAAGTTTGACGGTGGGTTCAAGAAGATATGTGAAATGAGTTTGGAGGCACGACAATTTCTGGGGAACATTCCCCCGGAAATGTTGTCGATGCACCACGATGGCGGGTACAGATATGGTACCATCACTTCTAATCTGGTAGAGGTTTTCAACAGTGTAATGAAAAATGCCAGATATTTGCCCATCACCGCTTTGGTCCAGGTTTCCTTTTACCGGGTTAATGCTTATTTTGTTAATAGGCGTGAAACCAGTAAAATGAGAGTGACAGAAGGCCACGAGTACTCCCCATACATCACAGATTAAATTGATAAGAATAGAGGGAAGGCCAAGCATCACATAGTTACTCCATTTGATTTAGGCCAAGGGTTATTTCAAGTGGAAACCAGTTGTGGTGGCCGAACGTTGGGGAAGGTTGGGAGAAAACAAACTTTCCATCTTAAACGGAAAACTTGCACTTGTAAAAAGATGGAGATATATAAGATTTCATGCTCCCATGTGTTAGCCGTGTGCAGACAACGTAGCCTGTCTTATGCTCCATTTGTGGATAAGTTTTTCTCATCTGACCAATACACAGCCACATATCATAGAGTCTTCAAACCCATTCCTGATCGTGATTATTGGCCTACTTACAATG